GTAAAATTGCAGTAGATTTTACATAGTTTGTTTTAAAGAACACTTGAATTTTTAAAAAGGTGTCAAAGAGTCTTACTTTAGGAGTAAAGCCTGGTTGTTATATACCACCAACCTACCAGCAACATAGTTGCCAGTACTGCCAGGGATACAATTCCAGTATGATGAGCTGATTCCATTGTATATTGTCAGAAATTCTTGCAAAGATTATGAGGTTCTACTTCGCAGGTAGACTAGCAGTTAAGACTTGAAGAGTTTCCAGCAGCTATGTTGCAGTTGGGTTAGTGGGTTATGTTTTGGCAAGCAGTCATTAGAACATTGCAGTTGAGTTCAGTAATTTTTGAAATTGTTATTGCTAACATAACCAATTTGGTATATTCATGCTCAATGATTTCACTCATTGAAAAACTCATTTTGTTCAAGTTAATGTGAAAGGTATGAATTTTGACAAGCATAAATGTTATCATAGTGCCACTGTTAAGTTAAATACACTGTTAGTAAAGTACCCGTCATTGTTGTTGTTCTGTTTGACTTCCTGGAACTGCCACTGTATAATACTTGATTATTTCAACTGATTTCAAGTAATGCTCAACTCCATAATTTTCGGTCAGGGGGGTTGAAGGCAGATGACCAGCCAAAATACTTTTACATTCATCAGAAAGTAGCAATGACAGAGAAGAAAGAATGGGCCTGCCTTCAGACTCATCCCCAATGTCAGCGTCTATAATACCATCTACCCCATAATTATCTATGGCTGATCCCACCAGTTCAATGCCCAATGGATTTTGTAACTGGCCTGATACCCACATACAGATTGGTGAGGATCTTGTAGTGCGCATCCTGTGGCGTGACCATGCCCGACTCCAGACTTTTAACTTCTCAATGATTAATGGCAAATAAATTTCGTGAAGAGCAGCCAGGTGAATCTCAAGAATTCCTTCGTCTTCCATGAAGTAAAATAGTCTGTAATATAGTCCTAAAACACTTTCAAAAACATCCCACCATAGGCGTTCAATTCTCTGATTGTGTGTACTTTTTCCAACTATAGCACTCCCTCTATTGACTCCTCTTCTGGAAATCATGTACTTGGCAATATCAACATTTTCCATGCCCTTGTCAGTTCTTATCCTGCTCGGCAGGCCAAATTCATCTACTGCATCCAAACAACACTTCAGGATTGTTTCAGCTTGGTTGTTATCCATGCATGAAAGCATGACCGGTAAGCGGCTAAAACCATCAATGCCCCCTATTACTACCAGATGCCAACGTACGAGCTTATGATTTGTATCTACATGCCATAAGTGATTGGGACCCTGAACATTATAGGTCCTTTGACGTAGACGGCCTCTCTTCCTGTTTTCGACTCGCTCATGATCGACTCTATGAATGCTGTCACGGAGCCTCATTCTCTGAACCTTTACTCCCCGATCTGCCAATATTTGCTTTAGCAGTCCCTCTCCACAAGAAGGGTATTCCTAGTTATTTCTTCTACAACTTCATCAAGCTCACCTTCTGTTATTTCTATGAATTGCAACTGACTGAGGCCGTAACGACCCATCCTACGATAAACGGTACTTTCTGAAACAGAAAGTAACGACACAATGTCCTTGATATTAAAGCCATCCTCCAGGTACCCCTCTAAAACTGACTTAGAAATTAAGTACTCAGGAGTGCCACACACTTATGTTCCTGGTTTCCTTGGTGGTGGATTGCTACTGTAGTTTAAACACTCTAACCTTAAATTCATCATTGCGTTGCGATCGTTCACACCTAAAAGTTCCATTTCTTCAGAAGATAGCTTACATATTTGATCCACAGTTACCTTTTCACGCTGGAAGTTCTCAATAAGATGCGCAAGGTGCATATTATCAAGTATAGTTGACAAAGTGTCGTTGCTTGTTTCCGCCATTTTGTTGTCTTTAACACCGGGGAAGAGAAAGAACTGGGACCCATCTAAAAACCGGTTTAACCAGTTCATGATAGCAAGTAAGGCCTGGTTACTAGAGCTTGGATCGGAAATGAGGTCAAGAAGACATAAAGACGAAACCACATCACGTAATGATCAAACCACATAGCGAAGATACCAGACAACATAACAGCGTAACCACATTACATCATGACAAGTGCACAAAACATAACTTAAGAACCTCAATACATCACGATAAAACCACACCACGTAATGAAGTTATTACACCACGTCATGATAAAAACACATCACATCAGGACCACATTACAAGACATAATGAAGAAACCACAAAACATAATGAAGCAACTACAACACATAATGAAGGAACCACACAACATAATGAAGAAACCACACCAAATAATGATAAACAACCACATAAGAAAGTTATGGCTTTCCATAGTTTAGTTTTATTTTGTGAATCTTGTGTCTGAAAGCAACATGATAAATAGTGTAATGTTTTTTTTCATTTTTGCAGGACCACAGGGAATTGTCACCAGCAACCATATCAAATCACTGCTGTTCGCTATTGTATGCGGTCAAATTCCTTCACTGGAAGAGCACTCCAGAGTAACTGGATATTACGGTGATCAAACAGCTGAGAACTCAGGCCACTTTTTTCCAGCATCAAAGGCAATTTAGAATGTCCCCAGACGAAAGAAGAGCTGATGGTTCTTAACCGTTGACTTGACTGGTAAGCACAAGTAATATTATTTTACTGCTTTGCAATGGGTAACAATCCATCTTCTTATGAAAAATAAAGTTTCAACATGTCATCTCTTGCACAAAGTACACCCAAAACAAATGGCTAGTGAATGTAGTATTTATATCCATATAAACCAATGAAACTAAGACAATGCTGTGACCAAATTTCTAAATTGTAAGCCACAAACATCTAAACCATTGTTGTAGACATATTTGGAGAGGGTTTCTCTTTGCGGAGAACAGGTCATGCAGTTGGCTCAAACAGATACCCATTAGCGTACATTTTGGCATGAGAGGTTAATATTAGAGATAACCCTGCTAGGCAGTCAATGTGGCATTTTTAAGCCTGCCATCTTTGTCACCCCTTGGCAAGTTAACATGGCAGACAGTTGATGAATGAAAGTTTTCATTTACATTTCCAATGACATCATTCCAACTTCAGGATATTTGAAAGCGTGTTTGTACTACGTGCACATTTTGATTGGGGTAATATTCTCAGTTAACTTTTAAACATCAGTTATCCTTCTTTATGTTTAAAAAGCCTTCGAAGCTTCATCACTAGGTGAATCAGAGAAAAAGCGAATGTTGTCTAAAAACATTGTTTTGGTCTAATAAAAATGAACTTCAATCTGTTCCTTGAATAGAGTTACCTTACATGTGACCAAAATCTACCCAGGCGGAAACCCTGTGCAGTGCGAAAGTTCTTTTAAATATCAGTTACTACTTATACAGACACGCAACGATCTGTCAACCCGACTTAATTCAGTCATAAAAATCCAAATGTATTTTCTCAAATCTAGCATACTGGTAGTTGACTGTATTATAATTTAAGCCGGGTGTAAACATTGTGGATTTTCATCAGAAGGTTACACACGAATCTAGTGAACTGAAAATTAACCAACGCTTAGATTTTGTTTAAAAAAGTTTTAATTCCTCGCCATTTAAGGTTAATTTTCATTGGAATCCCTATTTCATTGTTACTCAGGGAACAGGAGTTGAAATGATATTTTGTGCGTGGGTAAACACTACGTTCCAACGTACGTCCTACATGTTTCAACATAAACAAAAGCTCAGAGACCTTTAAGAATTTAGAAAGAGTTTGTTTTATAGCTGCTCAAGCTAGTCCACTGATTTAGCAATGCTTGTCGGCTTTTCAATTTACCTTTTTTCCATGAACATTGAGTCATGTGTTTCAAATACAAGTTTGTACTGGCTTGTTGTTTTGCAAAATACACACAAATGCGTGTATGAATGACAAAGGTTCCTCCTCCAATTAAAATACACACTTAGGGGTGAAATTACTCACAAATGTGTGTAACTACCAGATCAGTAAATTTTACACGTGTAATTACTCCTACCTTACACACACTGTCCACAAATACTGCACGCAGACTACACACATTTCACATGCATGTAGGTGCTGCAATCCCTTCGACCAGTAGTGTACATCTGTGTGAGTGACAAATTTGCATTTTTCAACACCTAATGATAATCCTTTCAATGCTTTGTGCATCTACAACTAAAAACTATGGATATGTGCAGGCTAATGGATACAACATTTTGCAGTAAGCAGATTGTCAACGCTTGCAGTGTGCACAGAGATTATTTTGAGCTGGCTCTCAATAAGAGGGATAAAGCACATGAGTGCTGTGACCTGGTGATTTTGGCCATGTGTTGTCATCCCTCAAGGCTGGGGTGTTGAGGTTCATACCCTGAAGATTCAAAGAAACTGGCAGGAATTTCATCCCAATCAGGTCAAAGACAGAAATGTCCTCTTGATGAAGGTTTCACCAGAGGTGACACTTTACCTCCACAACTATAAAACTGCAAAGTTCTTTGGCCATCAGAGCTGACTTTGAATGTAAAACAAAGCAGCAGAATGACTTAATTAACACTTTTGAATATTTTGATTGGTCTTCTATCTTCTTATTGATCATGGGGACAGACCAGCTCTAGTTGTATTGTTTTGGTGGGATTACACAATAGTTGTTGGGCAATCTGATATCGTCACTTCTCCATGTCGAGGGTGTGAGGATTTTTCTTCTTGGTGCCTATTTTTGTTACCGAGTGAAGGCCAACGCTTGAAATTTGCCAAGAGCTGTGATTATGATACTATGATATTATGATACTTCCTGAGATGTTGTACTAAAAAGAAACTAATCCACGTCACACCATTTCTTCTGACCACAGGCAGATCATGAACTGTGCAAAATACTGCTGGACTTAATGAACAATCACCATCCACAATTGGTTGGCAAGCAAAGTGGTGACATCTTGCTTCTGTCAAGGACATTATCTTCAAGCTGTAATGCAGTAACTTATTGTCTTTCCATTTGGGGTGATTAGCAGGACAAATTCACCCCAGATTCTAGTATCACAATCAAACCCTAACCATAACCCTAACTAGATTCCTGCAGAGTAGATATGCCCTCCTAATCCAACTTTTTCAAATGGTCACCAAACTGTTCCATGTTACGTCAGCAACGTCATACTAGATATGACGTCACAGTGGGCCTTATAGATCACGCTGTGTAAATTTGAAGTCATTTGATTAAATCCTGTAGAATTTATGTGTTTGAAAATTTGGAGGGGGCAATGACACACAAAAGTAGTTAAGGGGGTTGGTATGGGGTACAAAGAGATGCTGCCTAATTAGCATATGTCAATCAAAAGACCATCTAATTAGCATAGGTGATGGGTTACCTAGCTTGTAGAGAAACTGTTCTTTAGCTGCCTTTTTCATCTGTCTCTTCTCCTCTAATTCCATCATTATCTGGAGATTTTCATCTGCTAACTCTTCGTCTCTCCACTGAAAAAACGTGAAGGTGACTTTCTGTCCACAGGAGAAGGGTCTTTGTTGATTGTCCCAAGAATTGGACACTCTTAGATTGCTTGGCTTGTCGCATTTGCACGGCAGTGTGTAACACTTGTAAATAGGTGATAATTTGATTGCAATGGCATTGCAGTAATCAACTAGCTTATCTTCGATGCAAAACACAGGGCAATTCTTTACACTGCACTTGAAACAAGCTTTTCCTGTTTTCTTGGAAGACGTCTTAACCCATCAGTGATGTGAATAGGACAATTAGCCAGTTTGCACACATGTTGTCGCAGTTCTTGGACAGAAGTAGGATTCATAGGTATCATTTGATTATTCATATTTTTGCTCTTTGCTCCTTTCATGGTTGCATGCTGCTTCTTCGAATCCATATTACCAGTTGTTGCATGACAATCGTGAATAACTCCTGTAGAACTCTTATACTTTGAATATCACAACAGCATTTGGTATGATTGGTCTCCCCGCTATACTAACAACAGACAACATACCTACCTATGGCTTGACATTCAGCCAAATTGACATACGATTGTGTCCTGCTCAAGAAGGTGAAGTCCCTATTACAATTCCGTGCAAGGTGTTGTCTGAAAATGCTGATCGGTACATTGAACATGCAAGGCAAGGAGGAATCCCAGAGGTGCCAGACGGAAAAGGCAAGGCTCTTGATAAACTTTGCGAGGCCCTATCAAAGTTTCCTACTCACTAGATTCTTGGCAAAGAAGTGGCAAGACTGAGTGAATTAGATTCCAAGTCGAAAGTAAACTTACACATTGTGGGTAAGTTTCTCAAGGCACTCACTGATGATGATGGCCAGTGTGTGGTTAACGCAAGTCATGAAAAGGACTTAAAAATGATTGCAGTGAACCGATCAGTCATAACAACCATTAAGGTTGGTTGAAAAGGACTTGGCATCAGTAAGTGGCACCTCTACAGTTTAATGTGGGTCCATCATTATATCTCTTAATATAGGCGCATTGAGCTATGGCGAACTTTTTGCCATAACTTTTTCGGTTTTAACGCCATGGCTAAGAAACTTTGGCATGAGCTACAGCTGATGGGAACTAATTCAATTTTACTAATGGAAAATATAGTTTACGAAATTAGGTCCCAGTTGGACCCCAAGTTTCAAAGAAAATCGCATGTAGTGAAAAATTTTGCTGTTAATTTTTGGTGCCAAAATTGCAAGGTAAGTACCCGAAATTCTGAAAATTTTTGTGGCATCTAGAATTTTGCTGATATTTTTGACAGAAATTTCTGGCATGTGTTAAAACCCAGAAGATGCATTCTGGACAAATTTCTGAGAGGACTTCTCAAGATGATTATCTGCCTTGCATTCACTGTCTGGGCTTTATAAAGAGAAAGGATCTTTGGAGGCAACATACAGGCAAAGTGATGCAAATGAAATTAGTCCCTTGTTCATCGAATTTTCGAAAGATGTTTCTTGGGGTTCTAAGCGAAAAAAATCACAATCTTTCTCGAAAATTTCAGATGGTGAAATCTGAGGTAGCAAATTTTCAAGGTAACCAAATTAAAATTTGAGATAGCGAAATTCGAAGCAGCAAATTTTTGTGACATGAACCGCAATGAATGACATTGCCATACAAGGGTGTGTAAATGACTAAACTCATATCGAAAATAGATTCAATGATCCGGCAGTTTAATTGGCTATTTCCGATGAAAAAAAGCAATTGCATCACACAACGAAAAAAGCGATTACCTCACAATAAAATTCCTCAAACACAGACTAATAAACCTTGTTTTAGCACCTTTAATTTTCAAGCCTGCATATCGATCGGTAAGACTGGGCGCCAATTTCACAAGTAGGTCAAGTCTGTTGAAGTTACAATGTTTACAGAAGCCTACTTTCCCAAAACAGTGTAGAAATGAGACAGAACTTTTACAGACAAAATTTTTATTTTATGAAACATTACATTTTGTTTTGGAACCAAAACTCAAAAGCTCTCAAATGTCCTTTGTGTGTTTTTAGCCCAAGCAGTGCATCTCTTGATCAGCTTGAGTTGAATCATACAAAATAGTCTCTGGACGTCTTCCCTTGTAAACTGAATCCTTGCTGGGTTTAAAGGCAATAAGCTTATTTCAAGCATTTTCTGCTTCCATATTGACCGTAAGCATCGACCTAGTGGTTCGTATTTATGTAGAGCCACGTGCCATATCACTTGAACACCATGTTGACAGATGTTGACAGACTTGGAAAACTTACAAACCCACAGTGGTTTGGCTTGCGGCACAGATGTTGCCTCCATAGCTATGTCATGTAAAGGGAAAGTGTGGCGTTCGCAAGAAAAGAGTACTTATAACATGCGCTGAAGCCAAAGTAAGTTGTTTGTTTTGCTGTCTGCCTGGGAAAAGGTAGACTTGCCACAAGGCAACCTTGTGAGTTTTAGGGTAGAATAGCTCAGCGAGCGAAGGAACTGCGAGGTTTTAGGCTGCATAGTGGCCGTGCAAGGGTCGCTAAGCGGCCAAGTGAGTAACAATTGTCCTTGGTCTGGCGGGTTATTAATAAACAAGATGATGGACTTTCCTTAGAGTCTAGGCAAAAAGCTGAGAAAAATGTAGGAAGATTGAGACACACAGTTTGGGGAGAAAGGGGTTGGGGTTGTAACAATTTCGAAATAGTCAAACAATGTAATAGGGTTTCCTCAATTAAAACAAGAGTAAATAAAATGGTTTTCAATTGAGCATCGAAATTAATTCTCCTTTCAGCAATTTAAATATCTCAGCTGGGTGGAGATCTTGCTTGTAAAGAAGTTCAATTTGGGTTTGCGTGTAATTGGAAACTTTTGGCATAATTACCACAACCGAGTCTCAACGGGAATGATTGTGTAATGCATGTTAGCACTATTGAACACTAGCAGTTGCTATGGTAATACAAAAACAAGTTCACGTGGAGTCTGGGTCACAAAAACATGGCGTGGGTCGGCGAGTGGCCTTTGTGGCCTACAAATGTAAGCCAAGAAACAATAGAAGAATAATTGTGCAAGAGTTACGATGCTTTTAACATAAAGTAAACAGTAAAGGAAACCTTTGAAGCATATCATTTATCGAACAGAGCGATTTTTCACCCGAAAATTCGAAGTCAATTTTTGTTCCAAGTGAATTGTCATTTGAAAATTTGCATAGTTGGAAACAATAGGCATTGCGAGTTATCGTGACTTTTCGTCCTCACAAGTTTGACGTCATTGTGCAATGTGTCATGGACATTTCCAAGTTTCATGTAAAAGATGGGTGAAATTCGGGTCAGTACACCATCTTTAGCATCCCATATTGGCTACTCATTGAAGAAATGCATCGGAATTGTTTGTGGAAAAGCACTCCAGGAGAAAGACAGGTCTCCTTGAAGATGTTGAGTATTTTGAGAAGCTAATGGAAGCTGAGTGGAATTACCATATCAGCCATCACTCCATGACAACACTGAATGACGGGAGGTATAATCAACCAGACCTTGTCCTTGTTATAAGTGACTTTCAAACGTTAAAGGAGTACATTACCTTAAAGATCATTTTGCTCAGTTCAGAGTTGCAATCTGCAAGTAGACCAGATGTATGCACCTGGCGAGAACTGAGTGAAATGGTGCTGAACGGACTGATACTCTTCAACAAACGGAGAGGGGGAGAAGCCGCAAAACTTCAAGTTGAAACCTACACCAATCGCCCTGATTGGCAGAAAAGCACAAGTCAAGGTGTTGTTGCATCCTTAAGTGGCATAGAACAGCAGCTATTTAAGAGGTAAAAAATAAAAATACTCAAGACACAACAAGTTGATGATAACTAACAACAATGAGTAATCAAGGGTAATCACTGAGTAATCAACTCATCAGTCGTTGAGGACCATTGAGTATAGCTGAAATATACGTAAGTAAACCCATGACTAGTTGAAAATGGAAAAAAATTGTGGCTTACTGGTTACTCATCCATGCCATGGATTACTCGGCTATTCAGTTATCAAAAGGTTCATACTCATGCTATCGCTTAGTTGCATGTACAATAGAATCTCAATTTCACAATGACAGGGAGTCTGGATCAGAAGAAGATAGTGAAAATGATAGTGACGCTGACCTACCAAGTCGGAGTCCGAGTGTCCCAGTGTTAGGCTTTGTCATTTGCTGAAAGACTGGAGTTATGCTGAGAAACTCTTTACAACAAATTTTATATACCTACTGATATTTAGTGTTGTTGCTTCTTTTACAGCATTTTTTGCTCTTCGAACAGGAAGGAACAAGTAGCTCAAAGGGATCACCATCAGGATTAACTGGTATGATTATTTTCATTTCTCATTAGATTTATTGTCACACGCTGACATTTGGGGTTCATGGTATTTTCCCCTGTTCTTCCAACTTTGATGCAAATTAGTCCTCAGAATTTAAGAGTAAGGGTTGTGTTTAATGGCTGTAAGCGTCATGACCTTTATTACATAGTTTAAGTTAGTATTAACAGGCCAGATAACACTGGGGAATATGTCCCCTGTTACGTAATTAGGTGGGCCCTCTACTAATTTAAATGTCATCGCCCAATGACGTAATTCTCTGAGCTGAAACAAGGTCAGCATGACCTTGAAATTTTATTTTTAGAACCCAGTTGGTAGTTCTCAAGTGATTTGAATGTGCCACCTTCCCCTTTGGTTGTTTGGCACTCTACCAACTGAATTTATTATCTTATATCTTTTAATAGCTAAGACAAAAAAGACTGCACGAGATAAAGAAGCTGTACCAAAGGAGAACAGTGGTATGTAGCTAAAACTAATGTGTTGTTCTCAATACACATATCAGCCTTTTGTTGTTTCGCAAAGAAATTCTCATTTCCTATGACCATACAAGTACTTCCAACTGAATTTAATATCTTATAATCTTTTTTACCACTAAGACCACAAAGACCACACAAGATAAAGAAGCCGTAACAAAAGAGAACAGTGGTACGTAGCTAAAACTGCTGTTTTGCTTTAAATATACACATAAACATTTTGTTCTTTGGCCAAGAATTCTCAGTTCCCACAACCATCCTCGCTGTATAGTTTCTACAGCTCCGTCCTTTTTGCCCTAGGACCACAACAACCAGTTAGCAATTATAATTCTTTTTATTTTCTAAGTGTCTTAACTGTAAACACGGAAATTGTTAAAAAGGATTTTCTTCTGAAATCTGCAAGTTAACTGTCATTACTGTATTGTTAAGATGCAGGTAATGTGAAAAGAAATCATCCTCTTTTTGTTGCAGTACTAGTGTAAGCACAAGTGTGACACTGAATCTATTCTTACACTGAGGTCCTACTGCTGCCTCAGCAAAGAGAAAGGGTTATAATGCCTGGACAAAGGAAAAAAGATGCAGTTTTCAAGTACATTGGAGCCTTCATCACAAACAAGAAACTACCAGGAAAACGTGACCGTGAGAACTGTATGAAAGTGAGGGAGTTCTGGTCAATAGAGATTAGACAGCTGAGAAAAACTGTGTGAAGAATATTATCTCACAAGCAAAAGCATTCAAAGAAAAAAAACACCTAGATTTAATCGGAACTACTGTTTCCAGTAATTTACATTTGGCTGGGTTGGGCCACATTTTGATATTCTTAATGATTTAGGTCTGGATCTGTAAGTGTACAATAAGAGGCATTGCTTCTTTGTCATCACTGGTTACCTTTAGTTTTGACACAAGTTATATTTGTTCATGTTTGATTGGACTGAGTTCCTTTTATAGTTACTCTCCGAGTTTTTCATTAAACCTAGATTTCCGTATTACTTGAGAAGCCAGAAGCATCTATACCACTATTCGTACGCTAGTACCCCGAAAAGTAAGACAGATGCTTGTGTGAGTTGCGATTGGCCATTTGATGAAAGTAAGATAGCCCCTGAGTTGTGAAAAGAAAATTCCAGTGTTGACACGCCTGACTCTCGCCATGGAGAGGGAGAGAGTCATCGAACGAACTGTACAAATGTAGAACCAGTTGATATTAGCACTGACAGAGGTACTAGTGGAATTCCGTCAACACCACCCCAGAATATTGACAAAGAGACAATTGAACCAACAGTGGAAGAATATTCCAATCAGGAGTCAATTTATAATGAAACTTTCGAAATGGAAAAGAACGATCAAAAAAGTATTCAGAAGAAACTGTTTTTGCAACAGGTGGTCTACGGGAACCAGTAATTAACTCACCAGCAGATATTTATAAACACTTTCCACAAAGAGTAATCTTTGAGGACGAACTTCAGGAAAGACTTATTGATACAAAAAGTTCAAGTTCAGAAGAAATTGGCAGTAGAGAAAACACTATCGACTCTGACGACCAATTTAGTGAAGACAACGCTGCCCATTCGTTCTACAAAAACCAGAAAGCAGGTACCAGTAATCCTAGTAAAACTGCTAAGAGAATGTTTAGTCAAGAAACACCAGAAGAAGAAGCAGCTGAGTTATCACATTCATACCAACAAACACTAAACAACTTGGCACAAAAGATGCTCACCAAATATGTACGCATTGACAACTTCCATGGCCGAGATAATGAAGATATAGAGTGTTGGTTTGAAAAGCTGGAACTGTTATTAACAACCAAGGGAATCGAAATGACAGCTCCATTGGCTATAGCCCAAATTATTACTAACTTGAGCGAGCCAGCAGAAACCTTCCTTTTTGAGTTGACAACTGAGGAAAGAGAGAGCTTTGAAAAGTTTAAGTGTGCGCTTATGAAACGTTATGCCACCAAGGACCCTACATGGGCTAAGCGCCGATGCTTTACTTTATGACATCAAGGACCCAGTGAACTGCTGTCTAATTATGTAAATGACATTCATGAACTCTTTGGTGGACTGCACGTAGCGGAAGTGGAAAAAGTGACAAACTTCGTAGAAGGATTATTACGATTAGTGAGAGTTGAAGTTCTCAAGAAAAACCCTGCTAGAGGCAGAAGAATATGCCAGAACTTTGGATTCAATTAACAAGTGCATAAGGCAAACCAGTGAAAATGGTCAAATGGAGAGATTGATAAACGTGCTAATGATTAATGGACAGGTAACAGCTGTGGCAATAGGTACCAGATCTCAACCAGTGGATCAACAGATACAATCAATAAACACAAAGTTGGATGTGTTGGCTAGCAAATTAGAAAGGTGTTGCCCCCAAGGAAGCTAACTTGGAAAAGTTGGCCACTTATGTCGAGCCAGAAAGAGAAAATCAGCAAGGGGTCACAAGGTTGATAAGAGAATCAACAGACAATTCACACCAGAAAATTCAACAACAGGTCCAGGACTTAGATACTTGAATCAATGGCCTTGCCCAACATGGACCACCCAACAGGTACAAATCTCAACAGCCAAGACAGCGAACCCGTGACCGAAAACCTATTTGTTTTGATTGTGGTAACACTGGTCACAAACAACAAAGCTGTCCATATAGGCGCATTCGCCCAATACAAAATGCACTTCCAGCCCCTGGGCCCTAATGCCAAATGGAACAACAGAAAAATTCATACAATCCTGGATACCAGTCAGGGCAAAGAGAGTTACCATCTCATCAACAGGAACACTTGGCTGCCTTTGAAGGTGTTGCATATGAGGAGGAAACTATGTACACTACCTGGAAGACTACGATGTGGGAGAACTGTATTATTACAATATGAATTCCTGACTACTAGAGGAATCTGAAAAATTGGAAGGCACTTTTTAGAATTCCACGTCAAGGAGGAACCTGATCTACCTGGAGTGACTCGTACTACTGACCATCAAGATGTTTTGTGTCTGACTTATGATGACTCCCATGGTAGAGATGAGGAGGGTAACCCACCTTCAGACTTAAAACATCGCGCAGTTAAAAATGCCACCACTGCCACAGTTCCAAGACAAAGGACACAAGGATGAGTTCGACTGGCCATCACCTCTACCAATCACTGACATTGCCCTAACTAAGGGTGAATTGAACAGTGTGCCTCCGCCAACACCAAGCTTTGACCTTGCAGTAATTGAAAGTGATTTGGATATTGTGCCATCTCCGTCAACCACTGACATGGCAGTAATTTACAGTGAATTTGCCACTGTTCTGCCTCTGCAGCCAATAGATGATTGTATACCAAATACAGGCTATTTAGATTTGATAATACCACCAGCTCTAGAGTTCCAGGATGATTACAAGCCACCTTTTCTGGTAAAGAAGGAGCCACAGTCAAACAGCGCAACCCGAGATGTCATCAGCACAACAAAGAAGGTTGCTTTGGAAGTACTGTTACTGCCACCTCCTGAGTTTTGGGATGACTACGACCTGCCTTCCCTGGAGGAGGATAGGTCGCAGTAAGCCAGCCAAGTAATTGCCACAGGTACAGGAGATGGTCTGCCACAAGCAACTGCCGACTGTCAAGTCGACTTACACATAGTAGAAGTCTCGCTAGTACCAGATATGGTTGACGCCTTAGAAGCCGACATTAAAGAGGCAAAAGCACAGCAACATCCACAAGTGATGCCTACCCAAGCTGACAAAGTTCACACTACAGCCCAGTTAGGAGAAACTCTACCCACAAGCTTTGCAGCCCAGCGCGTGAAAAGTCCTAGAGGAGATGAGCCCAACATAGCTACGGCCACTGAGTCGCCTCGCAAGCCACATGAACTTACAGTGCCTATACAAGATTGCTTGTGGACACTGGAGCTAGTATGTTTGTAATTGACTACAATCACCTACAGGAGTTATACAACGGTATACCGCCTATAAAGCACACTAGTTCTTCCAGAGCTATTCAGACAGTAAGCGGTAAACAGTCACCAATCATCTGCACAATCACAGTAACTCTGAGTGTTGCTGGTGGAGCTTACCCATGCGAACTGAGGGTTATTAAGGGCCTCAATTATAAAGCAGTGCTGGGACGAAGTTTCCTTCGTGCCCATGGAGTTGTCATAAACCTACAAACTGGTATGTTGGGATTGGAGGACCATCCTCCCAACACGTGTATGGAGGAATAGCAGTCCATTCATGCATTTTCGACTTATGTGATCCTGCCCAGAGGTGAAGCAGTGATACCTGCCCAAGTTCATGGAACTGTCCCTCCAGGAACCATAGGCTTAGTCAAGTCTGCCCCTTGTTTAACCAAGAGATATCACCTTCAAGGGGCCACGACCCTGGTCAAAATATCACAGGTCAACACAATTCCCTTCCGGTTGATTAATCCTACGACCAAGCCTGTTACCTTGTACAAGGGCACAACCTTGGGGAAACAGCAGAAACTGGTGAGGACCTTAATGTTCAACCTATTGGCGAGGAAACAGAGTCACAAAGGTCCTGCAATCAACAACAAGCTTCAATACCAGTTGACCTCACTAATTCCAATCTCACGCTATACCAGCAGACTCAGATCCAGGCCCTTCTCAATGAGTTCCGGGACATCTTTGCTCTCAGCCCTAGCAAGCTTGGTCGCACGAACCTGGTTCAGCATGGTATTGACACAGAGGGGCATGCACCAATCAGACTACACCCATAAAGAGCTCCAAAAGTTCAAAAGGAGACCACAGAGAAGCACATAGATGACATGTTGAAATGCAATGTTATTCAACCCTCAGTATCACCCTGGGTCAGCCCAGTAGTACTAGTTAGTAAGCCACATGGATCCACAAGATTTTGCTGTGACTTTCAGAAATTAAACCTAGTCACAAAGAAGGATTCATACCCATTGCCATTGATTTCCAAGAGTTTGAAAGCCCTTAATGGTACCCAGTACTCCTCCACAATGGATTTGGTGTCCAGTCATTGGCGAGTGGAACTTGATCCCCGGGCAAGTGAGAAGACTGTTTTCACCAGTCATGCAGGTTTATATGAGTTCATTACAATGCTGTTTGGTCTTTGTAATGCCCCGAGTGCGTTCCAGCACATACCCAGACTTCATGCAGCCGTTCCTCCTGAGCACTGATGCAAGCAATGATGCCCTTGGTATGGTTCTGGGACAGAAGCAAAATGGTCACAAAGTTGTAATAGCTTATGGAGGCTCCAAGCTCAATCCTGCAGAAAGAAATTACAGCGTCACAGAAAGGGAAGCCCTAGCAGTAGTCACTGGTATCAAGCAATTCCAACATTACTTGCACAGATGCAAGTTTACTGTACTCCCAGATCACAATGCTGCATGCTGGCTGATGAACATAAGAGAGCCGACTGGTCGACTAGGAAGATAGACGTTAGTATTACAGCAGTATGACTTTGAGATAGTTCACCGTGCGGGAAAGAATAATGGCAATCCAGATGGCTTGTCCCGTCATCCGTATCAGGCCAAGTTAGCGGCTCTTGACTGCACCGGAGTCCAGACTGACAAAATTCGCGAGTTAGTCATGCCCACTCCCCTAAGGCACGAGATCCTGATTGGAGGACACGATCACCAAAACCATTGAATGTGTCATGCGAAATCTCAATTTTTTGATGAAAGAGGAGATATCGAACAGGAAAGCAGCCCATCTAAATGAGCTTGTAGCATTGAAGAGATTCAGGCCTTGATTCGGTTTCTGAGGATGAGTTTTAGTCATTCTCCACTCTCAACATGAATTTTGGGAGTGTTTTTAATGATAATTAGCTTAAAATATATCAGAACTGGGAAGATTTATGAGATTGTTGAATCAAATAGTGATATATTATATTCATATATTTGTTACAAAAGGTCATATGTAACAGAAAACAGCTGCATTTTATTAAATACATTAACATTTCTTGTGTATTTTAAGGCTGACATTTACTTAATTTGGACACCCAAAATGCACCAGATTGTATCCTAGAGCACTTAAATTTTCAAAAATTTCCGGGGGCATGCCCCTGTACCCCCCTAGCTGTTCACACCTCCGGCGCTCACTGGGAGTGCTACGCGCTCCAGTTGTCTCCACCTGCTTTGCTTTCATCAACTTCAACTTCATTTCAAAAGGAAAACCTTGAGCAATGATATATTATGAGTAAGTACATACCAGTGGTGATCAGCAGTTGACATCCCTTTGTAACATTATTATTCATGCTACAATATACTCGCTGTACGTTTTCAAACAGACACAAAAGAACACCAGATATCAATTGAGTCGATGTTCTGATGCACCACTGCCCTCAACTTGTAGCATACCAAATTATAGAAACCTATTGTGGATAACCTGTTTAATGATTTTGGGTTTTAAACGGGCAATAGTGGTGCAAAATGAAATTAAAACCCAAAGACATGGCCTAATACATTATGGTAACTGGGCCTTCCTGTCTCCAGTGGTCACTTCCAGTGAAGCATTACTATCTTATAGGACCCAACAAGAGCTGGCTGCTCAAACAGTGACAAAAGCAGAGTTTTGGAGCTCCCAAACACATGAGTTTGAGGCTATTAAAAAAATTATCCCTGTTGTTCAAGCTAAAGGTATTTACAGTTGCACCATTTGTCATGTGTCTAGATTACATGTAGTTCTCTCAATGTAACAGTAGTTTATTAACATATATTGGTATATCTTTCAGGACTCAATGTGATAGAAGTGGAACATGACTTTGTGCCAAAAATAAAAAACTGGCTTTAACAGCAGAGCATACAAAATTCTTTTAAAACTTGGCATGGTAAGAAATTAATTACCTGATAATTCAATTCATATTGCAACATTAAGAACACATTTGTACTTATTATTACTGGCACTAGGAACATATTTTGAGTGGATTTGAAAACAAGACAATACATGGTGTTTCATGGCATTTCAATTTCTTTAGAACTAAAATCATAAGCCTTGTCTTCCAGTGAATCATCAGTAATCTTACTTTATGTCATCTAATTTCTTGTTGCTTTTTAGGAATGGAGTGGCAAAGGCCATGAAAGAAATAAGTAGTGGTACACAGAAATAAGAGGGTGAAAAGTGGTATTCAGAGCTATCAGACAAGTGTACATACTCCAATCTTTTTTTTCCTAGTTAACAAACTAGTATATTTAGGTACAACCACAGAGGGTTAGTCAGGTATATCGAGTTGCATCACTGTTATTGAATTTGCCTATATTTTTAAAGGCCAGTGTTAAACAGCACTTCTGCTACTCCATGAAGAATTGCACCAGTCCAGATGAGGAGGAGACTGCTCACAGAAGTTGATTACTATCAGGTACGGCACTGTCTACTACATGATCAGGTATGAAAAGGACAAGAAAACTGACATCAATTATTGAAATGTAAGCAAGGATTTCTCTCAGTAACAACTAATCCTAGTGTTTAATTGAATTTTTAAAAATCTGAAATGTAACCACTCATTATTGTGGAACAACCATGGTAGATGGGATCACAAGTGAAAAGCGCAAGAAACCTGGATACCAGTACAGCAAGACCAAAATTACAAAAAGCAAGAGCAATACCTGCTCTGCACAAATTTATTTTAGAATCAAAGGTGTACAAGGTTTGCTGAGGACTACTATCTGGTATATTAGCAGCCATAGGTATTTCTCCTGTGCTTGGTAGTAAGCCTTTAGCTCATTATGCCAAAGAACATGAACAATGAGCAAATAATTTCCAAGAAAGGTTTTGACAAATCACCACAAAGCTACTTTAACACTGAACCATTTCTATAATTGCAGTGTAGTGACACTTACTGGATGGAGTCTTTCAACAATTGCATTCTCATCTACTGCCCAAAGAGAATTCACTTTGCTGACCACACTTTCAACATGTGCATTTCTCTGGCAGTAATGGATTGGGTAAGTCACAGACAGGTGGATTGGGAAGGTGCTTTCCTTTAATAATCTGCATACATACCAGGGAAGCAACCTTAATCAGTTTGTTGGAGGATGTTCGCCGACCGAATCACAGAACGAGTCACAAAAATCTTCGCCCCAAAACATTTCTATTCAGGGAGGCTGTCTGGAGTAGATTATTCCAGCTGAACTACTGCGCATTGTGAAGCAAGATGGATGACTAACATGCAAGACCTGTTCCAAAAAAGCTATTTTTTTGAAAGAGCCACATACCTGCATTGCACTGTGCGGGGAAAAGTCCTGTAGGGTCCTACTTACCTGGTGTGACATTGCACCCTCCTGTTGACAATGCCAACATGCAAGGTACCTGCATTGCATTGTACTCACTTGGCACGACACTGTACTCTATGGGTCAAAAACCAAAGGCTCCTCTAGGAGCCACCAAGTTAACTAAAAATCATGATCAACAGCCTGCCATGAAGAGTTACTCTGCTTGTTTATTACATTTTCAAACTTTGTAATGTAAGCCATTACTTTTCACTGAAATTTGAATGACTGGCTCTATCCCTATAAGGAACCTTTATTTCAAGGATACAGCAAATGAACTTTGCTTTACGGTACTGTATAACAATTTTCATCTAACCTGGATTACATTTGTCTGTTTCCCAAAACAATGTCATTAAGTCACATTGAATGTGGAGTGAATGTGGACCGAATGTGGAGCACGAGATATAATTTGAGTCACAGCGAATGTGGAGCGCGACATATAATTTGAATCAATTGAAAACTCTTTACTCAGATGATTACACCCTCATTAGAGAAGCTGTTTTTTAACGTCCTTTTGACAAGATGTCCTAACGTTTATTTTAATTCAAATAGGTTAACATTCAAAACTAACCTGTTCATTTCATGATCTGCTAAATCCCCAGATGTTGAAGAACACAGTCATCTTTAAATTAAGGCAGTGGAAACTGTTTTAGGGAGTGGGGGAGACGGTGGAGAGTGGCATTTGGCCTTCTTAGGCCAAATGCTTCAAAGTAAAAGGCTTCAAAGTAAAAGGCTTCAAAGTAAAATGAAGAATGACATGCTCGACGCTCTACTACACGTTCTCATTAATGGTCCTAAAGTGGGAAGAAAGGAATTTGAAGGAGTGATTTGATGCTTCTGTTAAAGCTTGGTTAGCTGCTAAACCATGCCGAAAGTGTCCTCCAAAGTTTGTCAGCAGACCATTGGTCGCCAGTTCAAGTGGTACAAGTGAGAATGTTGTAACGGTAACCATGCAGGATGCTGGTGTGCAGACAAATGATGACAGTGTCACTCAGCCAATTCACCTTACAATTGCAGACGAAGTAGATGCAACTTTAAAAGCATTGGAGCTACCAGCCGATGACGATGATGATCCAGATTATGGTTCCGACTTTGACTATTCTGATGAAATATAGTATAGTCTTTTCAGCTACATACATTAGTTGCTTGGATTTAGGATTGACTTTTAGTTTTCTTCAACTGTATTTGAGTTGAATGAAAGCAGTAAAACAGTACAGGAGGAGTTCATACATGAAAGTGTACAATCCCTGTAATGTTTGTTTCAGATATTATTATTTGATTCAGAAAAGCAAGTGTGGCTCACCACCTAACAAACGATATAAGCCAATGAGTTAGGTTTGATTATTCATACTGTTATGTATTTAGTAAATTGCCTGAGGCTGCAAACAGTTACAAAATTAGTTACCCTATTGTTTTTCATAAAATCACTTTGTGGTTGTCAATTTAGTAAATTCTCTCAGGCTGTGAACAATTACGATATTGTTTTTCATGAAGTCAATATGAGCTAGTATAGGTAAAAGCTCCATAAATTATTCACAATTTTTGTTTGCAAAATGAAGACATAGAATTATAAATTTTCACCTCAGAATGCTGGAAAATGCAATTCCGAGAGTCTAATTTAAAAACTTTTCCGGGGAGGCATGCCCCCGGACACCCCTAGAGGCTTGCGCCTTCAGCCCTTAGGGTTATAGGGGTGCCCACTTACTCTACCATGAGGGCGCTCCTACCTCAAAACTTAATGAAACCCCTGCTGGAAACAAGGTTTTCCATAGAGCCACCATTTTTAAAAACTCGGACATAGACAGCAGGATCAGTTGATACACAAATTACAAATTGGAAAGAACTTTCCAGGCCACTAGAACTAAATTATGGAACAGCATCCCTATTGAAACATACTCTCTAGGCCATAGTCTAATTACTATCACCATTATATATTTATATATTTCTTATTATTTCATCTATATATTTATTAATTTAATTTTTAAAAGAAAATCCATTTTGATTTTTTTCAATATTTTAATCTTTTTAATCTTTTTTACTTAACACACTTTTCAGCCATTTATTGTATAATTCATGTACCGTATATCCCAGTCCACATAAAAGTATATTTTTCTCTTTTTATAAGTGACTCTTTTTATTTTTAACCCCATATATTTAAATATCTTTTATCTTATGTATCACCCTTGCTACTACCACTAATATTACTACTACTAGTATTTATATTACTGCCAAGTCTAAAAGCACACCTACCAAAAAATACTGTAGTTATTTAGAACCATTCTTTATCTCACAAAACATTTTCCATGTGAAATTTCACGTCCATAAATATGAGCATTGCATCACTTTAGTGCAGCATCTTGAACAGGCTGTACACTTGTCGTGTAGCTGACTGCAACATTGTTTCAAAAGCCAATGGCAAGAAGTGATGGGTTTAGATCACGTCACAGAAGAACAGAGCAATGTACATGCCCTTATGAATCAACTATCAAATTTCCCTGATTGAGACTTGCTCAACAAAAATCCTCATCCCAGGTAGATTCACTAATTGTCAAAGGCTGAACCACTTGATAGAAAATTAGACAGCAATGTTAAAACTATTTGCAGATTTGTAAGGGAAACAAGGGAGAGAAAATGTTGCTGTTGTTCTGTTAGGGAAAGGGATGGTGTTTCAGCAAAACCAAGTTTGTAACACTGCAGAAGAAAAAAGCAAAAATGAGACTTCCACATCAAGATGTGAACTGACAGCCTCAACTTCCAAAAGAAGATTTACAAAGAGTTCCCGGTCAACTTCTCTGAGGGTTAAGTTACTTGCCTTCAGAAGAAAAAAGCTTGGCCGGGTGCACACTGGAACATAATTTGCCACCTGATCCTTAACAGGTAACACACCTATAGTTCTTTTTGAAGTGCAATGAACACAGAGAAACATTTGACAATGTCATCTTTACAGACCAATGCTCCCTTCACATGGGGAAGCATGCCAAGCTCAGTTTCAGACACAAAAGAGAACAGCCGCAGTTCAAGGGTCATTCCAAACATAGGTACAAAGTTAATATTTGGGCTTGGATTGCCAGGCACAGTGCCACAAGGATCCTTGTGTTTACCAGCAACATGGATGCCAAATTTACATTGAAGAAATTCCCATCATAACCAGGGTTTTCAAATTTAGCCCGCAACCAGCCCAAGTCACCGGCTACTTCAAGCATTTGCGCTGGGTACGTTTCGTATTCCAAATTTTATTTATACATGACTCTGTTTCACCAATGTAATAGCGATCTCATCTTTTTGAGGAAATAAACGTTAACAGATGAGGAAAAAATAACTAAACAGTGTTGCTATTACATGTATAGATACCTTTTGAACTTCAAAACAAGAGCATTTTTTGGCAGAAAGTCTGCTTGTGTGCACTGGCTGTCATTTGAACCTGCATGAATCGGCAGATTTCTTCTTATGTGCACAGTTTCCAAGATGAAGCAGAGGCAGCAAACAATGCTGTCTCTTCTTTCCACAGCCAAGAAGTCACGAAGACAAACAGATAACAATAATTTTAGGAATTAGAGTTAACATATATTACATGTTGTGCCAGCTCTGAAAGCAACAATAAAACAATCCTCTTAGGCTGAATTGACCACAGTATCTGTGGCTGTAGGCACTTACACATGGTGAAGGTGAAGGCAGTCTTCGTTGTGAAATGTTATTCCTGGTCTTGACTGCAGCAAATGTATGTTAATCGAAAGGTTGAAAGGAATCTTAACAATAAAACCCTTCAACGATGCAAGTTTTCAGAATTCCAGACAAACGAAAATGTGAATTTCAGTGAATTGATGTAGAAATGACACAAGACCGCTGACTTTGTTGTGATACTTCATGTAAGTACAAGGAAAGGTATCAACGAAAGTCGCCTCATGGAAATATTACGTCATTCCATTGATTCATCTTCATTTAAAGCTGGATGGAAAATGAGCGAGTGTTAGAACTGATTATCTTTAACTTGCACAACTGATTTGAAATACTATTATATTACAGTTCAGTATATTACACTTCAATTAGAGGTACAAGAAGTCAAATGATACTGTGAAGTAAGTACTGTACTCAGGGAAATGTAAAAGCATACTGGCGGTACAATTTTGTAAAACGTTGAAACCAACTAGTTTTGCAACGTTTTTCAACACCAATCCTTGTTAATAAGTGTACAGTGGCCTTCAACAAAATCAGTTATGGGTGCAAAAAATGCACCAGAATAAACTTCAAAGCATCCTGATTTTCAAAATTTTCCAGGGGCACCCCATTCCCCCAAGTAGAAGGCAGGTGCTCCTTTCCAACACCCTACCCAACAAGGCTGCCGTTAACATGACAAGATAGTGCTCCAGCTACTTTATAATTTCCTCCTGCTAGTTTTTTTCAATTTGAAAACCCTCCATACCCCAACCACTGTTCGTCTGAGCATCATTTCCTGACAACCGCAGATTTCAACAACACAACTTAAAACATACTAGTACGCTACCAAAAGAGTTCATGGAATATAAAAGGATTCACTGGTGGATGATGCCCCCACAAAGCCCTATCCTCAGTCCCATAGAGATATTATGGCATGAACTCAAACAAAACCAATAAAAAAGCCCACAACTAAACAGGATCTACTTGAAGGAATTACAAGGTTCTGGAGGGAGAGGATGATGGCAGAAAAGTGTCAAAGCTACATCACTCACCTGAAGGTTCTTTTGATAGTGATGCACTGTGAAGGCCATGGCTCAGGGCAATGACACAAAACAGTTCTTTTTAGGAACACAACAGCTCCTTTGGGAACAGCCACATTCAATGTAAGTCATGACCAACTTAATCCAATCTCTTGTCCCTTATAAAAAAAGATAAAACAGAAAAGCACTTTGCAGGATTTTCATTAGCAAAGGGTGACCTAGATGAACTGGAAAAAATTGATGACTTCAAAATCAACTGGCTTTCTGGAAGTTTCCCATGTATTAGGAGATGTTTCCAAGTTGATAAATATAGCTCTTTTGGAGAACATTCAGGGAAAAACCAAAGCCTTTTTGAAAATGAAAAGGATTTATTAAAGTTTTAATAGAGAAAGTTTACTCACTCAAAGACCAATGTCTTAGTTCCAGCCTTTAGAATAACTTTTGATTGCAAAATTTGCTACTCAAACATGCTTAGCAACAAACCACTGGTCAATTTTGGAAAACTCTGGAAACAAGTTTAGACCCAAAGAGTAAGACTTTGTGACAGCGCTAGCATTTTTCACCAACCTTTGGTATCTTGATCTCAGTGAAGTAACAATATATTTGTGATTTAAAAGCAGTGTTATTAATTTTTGGATAACAGTAGTTATTGCATGCTTAATCTCTTATATTTACTTATGGCACTGCCTATTTAGAACCTAAGTCCTTCACAGCATATGAAGCACCACATAATTTCACAAATTTGCAGCTTCCACATTCGAAACCCTCAAAAAGATAATTCAAGGTGGCTCTGAGAAATAAGGCTTAAATGAAGAATATCTTCAAGGTCAGCAGCAGATCTATGATGGGTTCCAAAGTACACAGGAGGCAGAAGGACATCAAAGACCATTAGGATTTGGAGTAATGATGTAGGATGAAGTCAAGGTTTGAAGAATAATCAATACCAACGTTGAATTGTTTTTAATCCATCACACAATTGAAGGGGTGCATGGAATAAGGACCTCAGTGACCTTTTGGTTATTGTCCAAGAATTATTAGTTCTTTTTAGACAATAATTAAAACCAGAGCAAACTGTGAAAATTGTCAGGGTTTTTTTTCTGCTGGCTACCCGTAAAAAAATCCCTAAAGTTACTAATGCTTCAATTATGATGAAATGTGATGTTAAAGAAAATACCTATGCTGGAAATTCAAAGAAAGAGGGGATTCTCAACAGCCAACATGTGGAAAGGAAAGTACTGTATGATAATTATATATGTTTTGGACAAACACAGTAAATGCAGAGTGCAGTTTAATAATTTCATTGATGCTTTTATTGCTCTTATCATTCATGTTCATTTAGTTGGGATTTTATTTGTTAAAATTATTGCTTTATCGCTGTTATTGCTAAGATTGCAATCTCTCTTTCAAGATTCACCTGAAAATGGCCTGTAACCTAAAAGGAGCTGGGATAACAGGCTACAGTGCATCAGAGGATGTGCCTAAGGTGCTCCATGACATCTTGGTTCTGCTGTACAGCTTGGTTCCCAAAAGACATTGTACAACATGAAGTTCCTGTGGTGCCACTACACTCCTGGTTTTGATTTGACTGGGTCATACTCCGCTATTGAAAGCTCAATGGCATTAAGTGTCTTCCAAGATCTTTTTATGTTATGCCTCAAGGTACTTACCAGTTCTCGCTTTAAGGTTTCTTTTCTCTTATGTGATGGAGCATACTCAAATTAAACAGTGTTGAAGCTTCTCCCTAGCAATCCAAACACACAGTTTGCTGCTGCCTTTTCATATACATATTATTATGGGATGCCTTCCAAGGCCCAATCCGCACATCCCTCACTTTTATGTTCTTCCTGATGTTGATACTGATCATTCAGCATGAAATTTCTTTCTATATACCTGTTTTAACTAGGAACATTGAACATGTTTGCACATTGTTTTCTGCTCTAAACATTTTGTAGTTGAAGAATATGATAGCTGCTCTTTACAGCTCAAGGCCACAAGGTGCAAGAGATTTTATTCAGGACAACCACCAGGTTGGTTGGCAAAATATTCAAAAGGTGATTGTAGAAGATCTTGAACAAGCAGAAAATGATTTGAGTCATAAGGTCCCAGGATTAAAGTATACACATCTCCAGAGATAACTGGACCCGTTTAAAGATAATGAAGGTGTGTTAAGGCTGATGTGGCTGTGGCTACCTCTCTAAATGTTATAAAATAACAAAAAAAAAGTGCCATGTGTAAATAGCAACCAGAAATAGCAATCAAAGGTTAATAAATGGAGTACACAGGCTCCTTTCCATTGCTTAGGTTGTGCAAAAAATCCGATTTTTTACAAGTGCAGAATCGTGTTCCTTCACTATCCTTCTATCATGTTTAAAGCAACTTTTATCCATTAGAACCGCTTTTTTCCATAAATTTGACAAATTCCTGACATCTTCCTGAATTTTTGTCCCTAGCAACACCTAAGCAACGGTTGTTTCCAGGTACTGAAAAAGGGTCAAAGAAAGAACAATTTCCCCTAGGGACTCCTCTCTTTTAAACTACAATTTGTAACACTCTATTAGCTAACCACTGACCCTATTAGGGACAGCACGGTTGAATACTCCAACCCAGCCGCCATTTTTTCTTGTATAATATTACACTGCTGTTTTTCACTCAGATACAAGTCTTTTTGTGAAATTTTTCTCCAAAAAATACCACAAGATTTTTCCAGGCCTTGTAAGCAAACGCTTAGAGGAAATCAATTCTCTCAGCCAAAGGAAAAGTCGCTGAAATCCTTAGAGTTGAAAGAGGATGATGATCAGATCGATCGTTCTGCTTCATCAAAGAAACTACAACTGAAGCAATTCAGTTCTGTAAACAATTCGCTTGTCATATCATCTCTGCCCCCTGAGTTTTGCTCAGATTTAAGCTTTGTGAATGGAAGTCATGGTAAGTAATAAAACACTATTACAACCACATAAAATGTCTTGGTCTCTTAATGGATACAATTTGACTATAGTATGAGATAACTTAGTATAAACTGTTCCAATCATTTGAGCGCTTCGGCCTTATCATTTCCAACTATTATCTCGATACAGGTACAGCATAAGCTTATATTCACCCAGTTAAAACATCGTCTGCTTACTTTTTGAAAATTGAAGCATTGGATAATTCCCTTTAACGTTTTCATAAACCGTTGGATGCTCCATTCAATCGTTTATCCGTTTGCTAGAAATCGTTAAGCTATCCCTTAAAAGCATTCAGAAAAAGCATTGAGAAAATTCAAGCTAGTCCTTTGAACACGTTCAGAAACTGCTAGAAATTTTCACTTGACCATTCAAAGCGTCGACCAAGTCATTCAAAGGTTCTGAAAAGTCGTTTCCTCTCCATTCATAAGGCGTTAATTTTTAGTCATTTAACAGAAAAGCGTTAATGTGTGTTTTCCCGTGGAAGGTCACATTTAAGGATTAGAGCAGTGACAGCAATGTGACACTCACAGGAAAATTTTTCAAAAAACCATTATGTGAATTAGCAAACTCCCATTCTTACAAAATTTCCATTAATGGAAATTTCTTAAGGTAAAAATATGAAAAATAATAACCACTAATGTAAATTCAGTCTTCTAAATGTTATTTTCTAAATTCCCATTAATGATAATACACTTGCTGAAACCGATAATGGGAAATTAAGTTCTTACAATTTAGGACTTACAATTTAGTTACAGAAACTGGATGACAACTCAACTGGCACTTGACAACTGAGGCAGTCAGTTAGATTAAGAAAAAAGGAATTATATTAATCTAGAAGTTCGCGGAGAAACAGCCACAAATTATTAGTGTTTCAATCATTATAATCCTCTCAGCCAGGCATCTCCCCTCCATTCACCATAAGACAGGCATAAAATGGGATCGCAAGAAACTGTATCTTGTGCTTGTCTCGAGTCACGATATGCCACATACAATTATTGTTGGACTGACCTTTCTGTGTCCTCCATGTAATACCAAATTTTGCAAGTCTTGGCCCTTTCTTGAATGGCCAACACCTTTGCCAACCAAGGGTCGGGGTTATCACCTTTAATCAAAATCATGTCTTGCACTTGAGGAAAGAAACGCACAAGCATGTCATTGCTTATTTTGCCAGTGTCTGTACTCAACGGAAGACGAAACGGCTTTACCGTCACAGGAACTGCAAGGGCAGTGAATGTGAAGATAAGAAAGTTCACTGCAGCGACACCGGATGATCTCCCCGCAATCCCAACTCCTTTTCATACCGAAAAGAACAAAAACAAAGATGCCAATTCACCTGAAAAATGACAATGTCTTCCTCTTTGATCATTGAGGCAACAAGCGACGGGACTGGAGCAAGTCACATGCACATGTCTTGTTTACCAAATTTGGACCTGACAACAAGACTGCTTTTCGCGCCCTTTTCGTTTCCCCACTCTTGGTCTATGAGCTTTGTTCGTGTTTATGCATTTGCTGTGACCTATCGCTGGATAAATTTGGATTTGGCTTAGCTATCCACACAGGAAGGAAGAAATTGAAAACAAATTATGGAAGATACTGGTTCGAGCATAGTCACGGAGTGGACGGTGGAAGATGTTTCGAAAAAGATTCAGCAGACATATAATGATGAAGTAGCGAAGAAATTTGAGGGTAAGTACAAAATTATTTATTCCTCATCCATCGTTCTTCTGGGTTTTTAGCAAACTAAGCTTATATTTTCAAGCAAACTTTTATTAAACTGGTCTTTTATGATTTGAAAAACTCGGCAATTCAAATAATAAAATGATGAGGAAATACGTATCAAAGAAGCTTTACAGGAGAAAGCTTGCACAGTTCAAGTTTAGCTTCTTTTGGCGAGGACTTGGTTTCTTTTGCATGTGTTATTTTGGTTTCTTTGTCATGGCTATTCCCTAAGAATTACCCCGGCCTCTTTTTAGTTCTTCCCCCAATTGATGCTTTCTTTTTGTTTCTCTCATAGAACAAAAAATAGACGGTAGGGCGCTGAAACTTCTAGCGAAAGGGTCGACAGACCAGCTTGCCACGTGTGGCCTCGAAACTGTGGACGATCAGTTGTGCCTCAAGGAGATGACATCACTGGTACAAGTGCCGGAAATAATCACCAGAGGAAAAAAACAAACGACCATCAAACAAGTGAAAGCAATGTCTGATCTTGATTAAAGAATCTACAAAGCAAAGTAAGCTAAAGTTATACAACTGTACAAAGAAATATTTATACATTGAGTGCAGTATACTAATGCTTGGGCGCTCAAAATTCTTTGTCTGGGTGAGTGCGACTATTTTCTGATATGCTAAAAATTCTTGAAAAGGTCTATTGTTCTCACCTTGTCTTACACCCAAAGGTATCCCTTTGTGCACTCTCTCATATTATTATCATTATTAAAGAGCATTATGCAAAACCTCGTGAAATCAAACTCCTGATGCTGTGTTCCTGGTTACTCTGTGAACTTTTTAATAGTAGGAAGGCTGTCACAGACACGGCCCTTCAGAAGTGTCCAGGAAATAATATTCCCATTTTCAAAAAAGATATGGCTGCCTCAAAAGAACTGGAGAAGTTAGTGTCAAGCATTGAAGAAAGGTGTTGTTTTGAACCTGCAGGCTTCGATGCAGAAGGCATAAAGCAACATATTCTTGACACTTTTAATTAGCGAAGACGGCAACTTCGGCGAGGTCATGATTACACTCTGGTCAGTTCAATAAAGAAGCTTTGGTTTTTTCCCTAGATTCTGTAATGCAGAATAGGGGAGTTCCACAGCTTTTTCTACTTGTCTTTGTCCTTAGCTTTCCTTCCCCACTCTCCCCCTGCCTGCAGCAGCCCGAGAATTTTATTGGTTGTTGTAGGGCTTACTTGACACCTAGTAGTAGGTTTGATTTGTTGGAACAAACTTCTCACTAAGCCAAAACGAAGGAGTGTGTTCTGCTATTATTTTCATGAAAATTATAACTATAAATTAAGGCCTTATGAGAACATAAGCTTTATTTTTTGTTTGATTTCTTATTTTTGATGGTCTTCGACTTTCTACAGCCAGACAAGTGTATTCTGAAAAAAGCAAAGACTTCATCTAATGAAACTTCATCAGAAACCCAAGATGAAGGTGGTGACACTGATATCCCAAATTCCAGTGGCAGTAGTTCTGAAGTGAACAGTGTTGATACAGGCAGCGACAATGATGGCGGGAATGAATCCACGGAAACCGAACAAGGTATGTGGGGTGAAAAGTTGGTACACATAAGACAATTACACTACAGGTCACAGTGTA